GATGGTTATATTAATAGGCCTCATCTGTTAAATTGCCTGGATAAATTATATTGTGTAAATACATATGAATATATATATATATATATATATATATATATATGAGCAGAAGAGACTTCTTTGAAAAATCTTCTTTAAAAATCTTACTGGTCCCAAACTTTTGAACGGTAGTGTAATATACAGTATGTGTGTGAATCAATCAAAAAAAGATAACTAGATTTTACTATATTTTATTTCATACATTTAAACAATTTAAATCTACTTTATTCCAATGACTGTTTGATTGAAATTATGGTTACTTTAATTTAAATAATCCTTTTAATCTATTGAACAATGAAAAATATGAAGTTGTATGTATTTTCCAACCTGACCCAACAAACCTGTTTTTTTGTGCTGCGTGTATGTGTTGTAGAGATGTTGACTGGCTGGTGGAAGGTGACGGACATCGAGGAGTTACGATCCATAGAGAAAGCGTGCCATTCCCGAGGGATCCGAGAGAAACAGCTGCAGAAACAGCTGCAGAAACACATGGATTACATCGGGCAGGTCTGCAGCAGGAACAGAGATGGTAGGTGCTCGTTGTGTTAAACGCTGTTTAAAATGCTTCGAGTGCAGCGCTCTCAGCTTGCGCTCTGTGTCCAGTCTCTGTGATCGACGTCTCTGAGCTGGAGGAGAATCAGGTCTCTGAGGACACTGTCCAGAGCTGGTGTGTGGAAGAACAGGCCATGGACATGGACATCGGTGTCCTGCAGCAGGTCGAGGAACTGGAGCACAAAGTCTCCTCATCCAGTCTGCAGGTTAAGGTAGGAAATCTGGATTTTGATGAACATTTTGGCCACTGTTTGCGCCTATGAGAGTGTTCGTGTTTTAGTTGAACTCTTTTTATTGATGCTTTTCAACAAGAGAGATTAAAAAAAGGAAAAAGACAATAAATCAACATTTTATGTTAACAGACATGTTAACAGAAATATCAAGATTGGATCAGACAGAAGTATTTCTTACTCTTTGAAACAGTCACAAAATACAATTAGGTATGTTTGCACCAAGCTAAAAAAAAAAAAAGAAATATGAAATATATATATGAAACTGAAACTAATTTAATTAAAATAATTCCACTGTAATAAGTATGAAAAAGTGAAATGCAATAAAAAATGTAGTTGTTTGTTTGTATATTATTATTATAATTATCATTAATAATAATAATTGTAATTATTTAATTTTAACAATTTTGCCTGTGCGCATAAGTAGTTCTTGTTTGTTCATTATTATTATTATTTACTATTATTATTATTAACAATAATAATAGTTGTTATTAATATTAGGAATAATACTTGTTAATTATTTATTTAATGTTTTTAATTTAATTTTTAGAATTAATTTATATACATGTATTTGTATGTATATATGTATACTGTATGTGTATAAGGTATACAATTAAATTACAATTATTATTAATAATAATAAATTATAAATAAATAAATATTTTATTATATTTAACTTTTTTTTAATTATTCCAATTAAATTATTATTTTATTTTGTGCTCTACTCTTTGTGTGTGTGTGTGTGTGTGTGTGTGTGTATAGATATAATAATAAATAATAATAATAAATAAGTACATATATACATAAAATACACCAATAATTGATACAATACTGAGGAGGATAAAAAATACCTTTTTACATATAGAATCACAACCAGCTAGCAGGAAAATAGTATTTCATGTGCTCTCTGTTTATTAATACATTTTCAAGTATGATTGGGTTGCCAAATGCTATAACATTTTTTTGCATTTAAGAACATTGTGAATCATTTTTTTTTCTATTTGAATAAACTATAACAGGCCATGCATCCAGTGAGAGTAATTGGGAGGGAAGGCTTTTTCCAGTTTGTTAGTATAACCCTTTTAGCAACATCAACATTAACGTTAAGTCCAAATAATGCCACTAGGGGGCATGGTTTAATATGAAAGAGAAAAATATCAGAAATTGACATGAAAAAGCCAGAAAGTATGACACAGAGGTGCTGGATCTTGTCAACATAGTACAAGTAAGGTCAAGATCCAGGTTAAGAGCCTTAATGTTTCAACATTGTCTCTAATTTGAAGTGCAGTAAATAAAAGCATATGAAAGCATGCTTGTTTGAAGGGCTGGATGCATCCAGTGCCGCAGTCACAGAGTGAAGACCTGGTGTATTACGAGCACAAACCTGTCATGGAGAACTGCGAAGACAGGAGTGACTGTGGCATCGTGCGTCGAGCAAACAACCCTCTGGATATAGCAGTGACGCGTCTGGCAGAGCTGGAGAGGAACATTGAGCGAAGGTACCTGAAGAGCCCTTTAAGCAGCACCATTCAGATCAGACTGGATAACGTGGGAACGGTCTCAGTACCGGCCCCTGCGCCATCACCTGATAAAGCTGATGGTGACGGGTAGGTCATCCAGATTCACACGCTCCTCAAGCCCGTCTGCCGCTCTTCATGCTTCACTTTGGCTCTATGCATCTGTGGGTTTATGGCTGTGGCGTCTGTTTCCCATTTACACTGCAACCTACACCGTTTCTGAGTTGTGAAGCATGAGCATACATCTACAATAACCACAGCCTCATTATATCCTGTCATCTGCCTTCCTCAAGCAAGTACTTCTTGAAAAGACTTCCACAAAAAGGGTACTAAATAGAGCCTGAAAATCTTAAAAATAAAACAACAATAAACAAATATATAAATAAATACATGTAATAATAATATATTAAAAAATAATAATAATAATATAATTTAATTGGAATAATTGTATTAAATGTAAATAAAATGTATTTTTTTGTTTATTACTATTATTTTTATTGTTATATTTATTGTTGCTGTTTGTTATAATAGTATTATTATTAATAATCATTCATAATTAATCACAAATATTAATAATAATAATTTAATTTAATTAGAATAATTGAATACATTTAAATATAACTTAAATTATGTAGTTATTTATTATTGTCATTATTATTGTTTTTAATAATAATAATTGTTGTTATTAATTATAATATACTATATAATTATTATGTATTTATTTTTAACAAATGGTCAGCGAAAAGAGGTGTGATATATTTCTAAGTAAACTTGAAAATTTAAATCTATAAAGGCAAGAATTATTTAGCCTAAATTAATCCACCATTCAGTACGAGGTAGATAGTTTTGGGACCAAGTGTTGTTTTATTTAGTTACTTATCATCATATATATCCCATAAAATAGAAATAATATTTGATAATATAATTGTATCAATATTATTATATAAATGATATTAAATAAAAGAGTTTACAGACTAACATCTGATACTTCTCAAAAAAGAAAAAAATATATTATTTATAATTATTATTACTATAGAGGTCAGAGTTCTGAGTAATAATAATAATAATAATAATAACAATGATAATAATAATAATAGTAACAAAGTTACAAATTTAGCCTATATTAAGCCATCACTCAGTAGGGAATACATAGTTTTGTGACTAAATGTTGGCTTGTAGTTACTGATCAAATTATATTTCTCATATAATATTATATAAATAATATTTGATAATATTATATAAATAATTATATAAATATTATTGCATAAATTATAGTAAATAAAAGGTTTTACATACCAATATCCAATAGTTCTCACAAAAAAAAAAAAAAATTTGAAACATTGAAAAAATGAATTGTGCCTCTTAATGCAGTAACGATGGACACTATTTGTGGAAAATGGCAAAACACAGTTGAGTCTGATTGCTCTCTGATTGCTCATTCAGCTTGTGCACTGTGGTTATATCAGAATGAATGTGGGTTATTGATCATTTCATGTTTTTACTGAAATACGCTCATATCCAGTCTCCTAAATTAACATGCACCAAATCAGAATAAAAACTGCCATTGACTTACATACAAATTAATTTGTAAGAACTTTAGGAAGATTTGAAAGAATCTGATCATCACTGATGCAAGGAAAAATGCTAAATAATTGCATTGTCTTCAGGACAAATATACAGATATTTTTTCATCTTATTATTTTTATTTAATAAAAAATTGCAAATGCAAAATACAGTTTCATGGGCAGTAAGAAATATTTATGACCTGTAAATGCATTAAATGCCCTCACAATTGACCCTTAGCAAAGACCCACTCCCCTTAGTTACTGTTGCTATGTCCGACAAGCCATCATGTTCTCACACAGTGAAAAATACATTGTGGAGCAAAGAGGACACTGACAACACAGACAGACAAGACAGAGCAGGTTACTTCTGGTATGAAACAAAGTCTCAGCTTTCAAATTTGGTCATTTTTTAAAGAAATTCAAACAATAAATAGTGTTTTGTGGCTCTTTAATGTATCGTGACCGATCGCTGTAGCTCCTCAGTTCAAGCGGCGCGTGAACTGATCATCTCTTCCTCTTTACTAGTTACAGCACAAAATAAACATGAATGAACATATCGGGTATCTTGTTTCAACCGCGGAAATACGTCAATACACACCGTTTTTCAAGTTCAACTCCACCGACGTTAATCTACTCTCCTGTCTGGTTTGTTTGTCGGACAAAATGTCAGATTCAGCGTTATGATTGGTCAGATCGCCTGTCAATCAAAACTCTCTGCTAAGGGTCAATTGGCAGGGGTGGCAAAAAGTTAATTTAGGACCCTGGTCACATTTATTTATTATGAAATATTTTTATTATTTTATTTCATTTCATTTCATTTCACTATTGTGCTGCACTGTAATATCTGTGTCTGTGGCAGGGCTGAGGAAGATCTGGCTCCAGGATTGAAACAGTGGCGTAAAGCTCTCGGCGAGGTGCGCAGTGCCAGTCAGCTCTCTCTATGCATACAGCAGCTGCACAAGTCCATCGCCTGGGAGAAATCCATCATGAAAGTGGTGAGTGTGCTGTGAGTCCAGCGTAAATACTGCTGCAGTTGTGATGGGAATTGATTTGCTGGGTTTTCAGGTTGATTGTGTGTTATAGTTCAGATCTATGTGGTGGTTTATAGATCTTAGGTTCTTATTCTCTGGCAGTCAGTGTTGGGAAGGTTACTTTGGAAATGTAATAGCTTACAGATTACCAGTTACAAGTAGTGTAACTATTTCAATTATTTCATTAAAGTAATGTAACTGATTACATTTGATTACTTTTCTAAATTTCTAATGAATGTTTTTTAAACCAGGCAGGGTTATCCTTACAGTAGTGCTCAACAATGATTACTCTCAGACCTTACAGTAAGTAGTCTGAGACTTTCAAAATCCTTCATCGTTTGAATTAAGATTATAATGATTTTAAAGCACGGCCACCACAAAATCAGACTATAGCACCTCTTTTTACTTTGAGATCATTCTGAGGTTAAATACTGATCATAACAAGATCATAACAACAAATCATAACAAGAAATAGTTTAATAGCTATGATACTGTTTTTGAATTCAAATCTTTGCATGGCTATGACGGGAAACACAGGCATCTAACAATGCCTTGGGGAAAAAAAAACAGTTAATCTTAAAAAATAAAGCATATGCATAAACCCAAATAGGAAATAAAACAGTTATCAAATAAGCATGTGTCCTATTCTGTGTCCTAAACTCCTGAAATGTTGATTTGTCATATTTTAGAGCAGTCAATGCAATTTATGAAAGAAATCAATCAAATCTGTGTGTGTGAAGATATTCAGATGTAACCCTTAACGTTTTCTTAAGTAACTGTAATTTAATTACACATTTTTTTCTCAGTAACTGTAATGGATTACACTTACATTTATTTTGTAATTTAAATGACCTATTATAAAACGGAGAGTTCCGGTCCTTGATTCTGATTGGCTGAGCCGCTTTCGAAGCTGTTGTAAATTACACTACAAACATACACCTTTGTTTACTTCTGTGTTTTGCTCGGCAACCACTTTGTTGGAACCACAACCGTTTCTGAGGAACTACATTGTTTGGTGGAAGAATACTGTTTTTATTTATATATTATAGATATATAAATATATATATATATATGTATATTATAGGCCCGTTCACACCAAGGACAATAACTATAAAGATAACGATAAAGATATAGTTCTAAAAATCGTTGTTGAATTTCGAATATTCGTCGAATTTAAAATAAAAATCCACATTCGATTGCAAAAACGTTGCATTCGAATTTCAGGTGTGCGTTAAGGAGGCAGCCTTAGCGGCGCACGAGATGCGATGACGATGTAGGTGTCATTGCATTATAATGTTTTTGTTAGCCTATCCAGTTGAAGCCACTAGATGCGGCGCTGCTGTGTTGTTCATTAAAAATATTGCGGAAAAAGAGAACAATGCGGAGAAGATAAGCCAAAAGCTTTTCTTCACCCTAACTGAACTTATGCATTTTAAAATATAATTTTTAAATAAATAATTCGAATATAATTCGAATGTTGATAATATTTAAGTAGAAAATTCGAATTTAGTTTTTCAGCCATTTTGACAGCCCTACTGCCCAACACTGAAGTAATCCAGTTGTGTTTCTGGCTCAGTACTGTCAGATCTGCTGTAAGGGGGACAACGAGGAGCTGCTGCTGCTGTGTGATGGATGTGATAGAGGCTGCCACACGTACTGCCATAAACCCAAGATCACCACCATACCAGACGGAGACTGGTTCTGCCCGGCCTGCATATCCCAGGTGGAGCACTTTATTAGTTCAGTAACACTGCCTGTGATGAGACCTTGCAGGAAAATTCTGTAATTTATTTACTCTCCATCTCTATGTTGCTCCAAACCTGTATGCAGTTTTTTTTTTATCATGGAATTGCAGAAGAATATTTTCACAAAATGTCAGTCCATATTGACCAAAAACACTATGAAAGTATCATAAAAGCAGTCCATGTGACTTGTGTGCTGTATTTTAAGGCTTTAAAAGAACAATTATTATTATTATTATTATTATTTCTACTACTACTACTAGTTAGGACACTGACAACAACAACAATAAAAAATAATGATAATAAAATTATAAAAGCAGTCCATGTGACTTGTGTGCTGTATTTTAAGGCTTCAGCTGCAGTTCAGTGTCAAACCTGGCACAACACAGTGATATGTCATTTTACATATCTATGCAAGAACAATTATTATTATTATTATTATTATTATTTCTACTACTACTACTAGTTAGGACACTGACAACAACAACAATAAAAAATAATGATAATAAAATTCAAAATGTTATTGATACATTTTTTTATGTTAATTTTTTATGTTATTATTATGATCAATGACAACAACAATATAACAACATCAATAATAATAATATAAAAACTTAATGAATGTAGTAATAAAATTTATACTTTATTATAGTTTTATTATTATTATTATTATTAGGTCAGAGTTTTTAATAATAATAAATATTGCAATATAATACATTATTTTACTACATTCATTTTTATTTACTACAATTTTTACTACTACACTTAAAATTATTATTATTATTACTACTACTACTACTACTACTAACAACACTGACAACAACAATAATAATAATAATAAAATTATAAATTTGATTGCTAAATTTATTATTTGTTATTTTTATAAATAAAATTATTATTATCAACAAAAGTGTAATAGTAATAATAATATAAAAACATAATGTAGTAATAAAATGTATACTTCATTAAAACTTTATTATTTTTAGGTCTGTGTTTTTAAATAATACATATTACTATATAATAATATTATAATATAAAGTTACTACATTTATTTTATTAATTTTTATTTTATTTTTTCATTTACTACAAATTTTACTACTACATTTATCATATTTTTTCTATATAATAATAATAATGATAATAATTACTATTATTATTATTATTATTATTGAAGTCAGCGTTTTGAGTGGTAATAATACTATTCTAAATTTTATTACTGCACTTATTATTTATTGTTTTAATAAATAATGCAATTTTAATTGTTATTATTATTATTATTTATTATTAATAAATGTTTACAGTAATTGTTATCATTTTAGTTTTGTATTAGAACCAAGTATTGGGAAATCATTGGGGAATTTGGCTTAACAATTAACAATTGTTAACAGTTTAAAACCATAAATATTTTATTGCTTCCCATTCCTTCCATCCAATTCCAATTCCCAAGCACATGTGCATCCCTAAATATACTTTTGTGTGTATATAAGCTCAAAGGCCCCATAAATGCTGCTTAGCTGCAGTAGTCTGTTCTTCATGAAGAGAGTCCTTGGCCTGTGTTTAGAGATTTACTAGTGTTTCCTCACTAAAGTGTTTGGCTCTGTGCAGGCGAGCAGTCAGTCCCTGAAGACCAAGAAGCCTTTGGACCGCTCAAGCGGAGGCCTGAAGAAACCTGCTGAGGCCAAACGGCACAAGAAACCATCTGTGGCCGGAGACTCAGAGGACGATTCGGGCAGCGCCAACAGCACGCCCAGAAAAGTGTTAAAGGAAATAAAAAAGAGGAAGACCGAGGAGAATCCTTCCACTAACCCGGCAAAGCAGGAGAGTCCCAAAACAGCCAGAGACGACAGTAAAGACCTGGCCATGTGCAGGTATCAGAGCCAGAAACCTTGCTGAATGAGAGTTATATTCAATCCAGGGTTTCTGCAGGTCCTTAAAAAATCTATTTGTGCCAAATTTAAGGCCATAAAAACTCTTAAATGGTACAAGAAAGTCTTAATTATGATTTCAAGAGGTCTTTAATTTCGGGACTGAAAGACAAGAATTGCAATATAACTTAATGTGACGATTAAACTTCAGAAGTATATGATTTCATTTAGGGATGTAACGATTAACCGCGAGCCGGTTGAAAAATCGATTCAAATATGTGACGATTCAAATCGGTTGAGATGCTAAACAAATCACGATTCATTTAGGGGTAGGAGTTTATGTGTATGTCTGAGGGGAACTTACTGTCTTTAGAAAAGTTTAGATGGTATTTTTTTTCTTTTCATCTTGCCTCTGTATAATGAATATTAAAGTTCATAAGTGCAGCTCTGCTTTGTTTACAGTGATAACCAAGGAAACACTGTATCACTGCTGTTCATAAGCAGCTCTGCTTTGTTTACAGCAGTAACCAAGGAAACACTGTATCACTGCTGTTCATAAGCAGCTCTGCTTTGTTTACAGCGGTAACCAAAAAAAAAATCGTGAATCGAATCGTGACTTGAGTGAATTGTTACATCCCTAATTTCATTGAATAAATATGAGCGCTGCACGTTTCAAAGTCAGGTGCTGCTGCTTTGTGCACTGCCATTACCTGCTGGCAGAGAATGAATTTGCATTATCAATAAGCCCATCTGCTGGTTTTGTTCAGATCAATGTGAAAATCCACCCATATTTTTACACAACAAACAAGCAGAGTTGTAAATGTGAACTAGTGGATCGACAAGAAGATAATGCATTATAAAGATCTAAACAATTAAGACAGTAAAATATATTTATAGGTTATTTAATTAATTTAATAATTGTTTAAATTAATATAATAGATAGTTTTGAGTTTTCTATTTTCTTAAAAATGGTTTAAAGGCTGAAATGTGCAAACCTGTATCTGAACTGTAAATCATGCTTTTTACAGATTAATACGTTACCATAGACATTGCCCTATTCATTTTATTTGTGCAGGTCTTAAGTCTTAAATCTGATCTTAAAAATCCTGCAGATGCCCTGGAATCAGATTGATCATTGATCGGTCTTTTTCAGAATACTCTTGGCTGAGCTGGAAAGCCATCAGGACGCCGGACCGTTTCTGACACCCGTCAACCCCAAATCTGTCCCGGGGTACCGCAAGATCATCAAGAAACCCATGGACCTCTCTACTATCAGAGACAAACTCACCAACAGCCAGTGGGTGTCACTTAGTTAACTGATCATTATTAACTAGTCATTTACAGTTATTAATAGGGCTGGAAGGCTAAAACTAGATTTTAAGCATTTTGGTGATATATGTATTGATGGTGATAATAATAATAATAATTTTTATTTTATTTACCAAACAGTCATTGTAGTCAAGTAGATTAAGACTAGTCATTTATTAAAAAACACAGTATCTTCAGCCTTTTTGGTGATATTTATTGATGATAATATATTTTTATTTTGTTTAATTTTATATTATTTTATTGTATTTATTTATTTATTTTTTTAACCAAACTGTCATTGTAGTCAAGTAGATTAAGACTAGTAATTTATTAAAAACACAATATTTTCAGGCTTTTTGTGATATATTTATTGGTGATGATAAATGTTTTAATTATATTTTATTTTTTTTATTTTTTTATTTGTTTGTTAGTTTGATTGATTGATTTGATTGTGTGTGTGTGTGTGTCCATTGTTATACTTTTTACTTCAGTTTGTTTTATGTTAGATCGTCATTTTTACCAAACAGTCATTATAGTAAGTAGATTAATCATTTATTAAAAAACAATATTTTTAGCCTTTTGGTGATTCTATTTATTGCTAATAATAATAATAATACATTTTATTATTTTTATTTATTTATTTTTGTTATTTTATTTCATTTAAATAATAAGTTTAACCTGTCATTATAGTTAAGTAGATTAAGTAATTTATAAAAATAAAAAAAACTATATTTTCAGCCTTTTGATGATATATTCATTGATGTTGATGATAATAATAATAATAATAATACAGTTTTATTAATACTATTGTATTTTATTTTACTCTCAATTGAATGATCGTTGTAACCAACCAGTCATTGTAGTTTTTTTTTTTGTCTTAAATCTCATTTTGTTAAAAAAAAATCGTGAATCGAATCGTGACTTGAGTGAATTGTTACATCCCTAATTTCATTGAATAAATATGAGCGCTGCACGTTTCAAAGTCAGGTGCTGCTGCTTTGTGCACTGCCATTACCTGCTGGCAGAGAATGAATTTGCATTATCAATAAGCCCATCTGCTGGTTTTGTTCAGATCAATGTGAAAATCCACCCATATTTTTACACAACAAACAAGCAGAGTTGTAAATGTGAACTAGTGGATCGACAAGAAGATAATGCATTATAAAGATCTAAACAATTAAGACAGTAAAATATATTTATAGGTTATTTAATTAATTTAATAATTGTTTAAATTAATATAATAGATAGTTTTGAGTTTTCTATTTTCTTAAAAATGGTTTAAAGGCTGAAATGTGCAAACCTGTATCTGAACTGTAAATCATGCTTTTTACAGATTAATACGTTACCATAGACATTGCCCTATTCATTTTATTTGTGCAGGTCTTAAGTCTTAAATCTGATCTTAAAAATCCTGCAGATGCCCTGGAATCAGATTGATCATTGATCGGTCTTTTTCAGAATACTCTTGGCTGAGCTGGAAAGCCATCAGGACGCCGGACCGTTTCTGACACCCGTCAACCCCAAATCTGTCCCGGGATACCGCAAGATCATCAAGAAACCCATGGACCTCTCTACTATCAGAGACAAACTCACCAACAGCCAGTGGGTGTCACTTAGTTAACTGATCATTATTAACTAGTCATTTACAGTTATTAATAGGGCTGGAAGGCTAAAACTAGATTTTAAGCATTTTGGTGATATATGTATTGATGGTGATAATAATAATAATAATTTTTATTTTATTTACCAAACAGTCATTGTAGTCAAGTAGATTAAGACTAGTAATTTATTAAAAACACAATATTTTCAGGCTTTTTGTGATATATTTATTGGTGATGATAAATGTTTTAATTATATTTTTTTTTTATTTTTTTTTTATTTGTTTGTTAGTTTGATTGATTGATTTGATTGTGTGTGTGTGTGTGTCCATTGTTATACTTTTTACTTCAGTTTGTTTTATGTTAGATCGTCATTTTTACCAAACAGTCATTATAGTAAGTAGATTAATCATTTATTAAAAAACAATATTTTTAGCCTTTTGGTGATTCTATTTATTGCTAATAATAATAATAATACATTTTATTATTTTTATTTATTTATTTTTGTTATTTTATTTCATTTAAATAATAAGTTTAACCTGTCATTATAGTTAAGTAGATTAAGTAATTTATAAAAATAAAAAAAACTATATTTTCAGCCTTTTGATGATATATTCATTGATGTTGATGATAATAATAATAATAATAATACAGTTTTATTAATACTATTGTATTTTATTTTACCCTCAATTGAATGATCATTGTAACCAACCAGTCATTGTAGTTTTTTTTTTTCTCTCGTTTTCTGCAGTGTTTTTCACTAAATGAACATAATTTATATGCACCAATATAATAGCAGGTGAACCACAATATTTACCAGCAAAATTATAGTGAATGTTTGATTTAATGTCCAGTGTGTGTTATGTTTGCTTTTGTAATCACAATGGACTTTTCTCATCGCAGGTACTTGAATCTTGAGACTTTTATCATTGACGTGAACCTGGTGTTCGATAACTGTGAGAAATTCAACGAGGATAATTCAGTCATCGGCCGAGCGGGACACACGATGAGATGGTTTTTCCAGAGGAGATGGACCGAGCTGTTGAGGCAGAACTTCCAGAAACCGGGTCTCAGCACATGAGAGCAGTACAGATGCATTTACACCACGATTCACACCTGCTTTGCTTTGTTAAAGGACAACTGTGAGAACATGAACGTTTTCCAAAATAACCAGTAAATGTTTGTTTGTTTTGTTTTGTTTTTTAAATAAACGTTAATATTATAGTGAATGTACTGTATTTAATTAGTTTTTAATTATTTATAACTAAAAAGGTCTTCACTTTCTATGAAAAAGAGGCAAAACTGCTTTAAAAATCTCAATGAATGTGTTTTCTTTATCAGATATTAAAAAAAAAATTCTGAGCTCCTAGAGAACAGAAGATCCATTATTGGTTACATTATAAAGCTGCATTTATGTAAATGTGTATGTTTGAAATCACAAAACACAGTCCATCGTGACATATACAACGACTGTTAATTTTTAATATCGGTTCTGAATATTGTATTCTGTGCACACAAGACTCCAGCATCGTTTATGCCTTTTTAATAGCTGTATCTTTTCATGGGTTTTAATATGGCACTTTCTGAAAATAACAGTGCCTTTCAGAAATCCACAATTTTTACAACTTCTCAAACCTTCAATCTATTCCGATGCACAAACATTCATCCAGTGTTTGCTGGAATTTTTACACCATTATTGCTATTGCTCATATACGATGCAACAATAAAACCGATGGGAAAAAACCTCCAAACCATGTCTAGAAATCAGAAATGGTCTTTTTTGACATAGCAAACAGTCTTGCATTGTGGCGGCCAATTTTGCACGTGCAAAAAAAGTGCTGTTGCAATAAAGCAATCTAGTTTACATGATAATTATTCTAATGAACTGCAGTGGTTTTTATGGTACTAAAGTCAGAATACTTGAATTCTGCTGTGTGAAGATATTGCAATGAAGGTGTAGCGTTCTGTTTTGTAGGAGTTTTATTTTTCTCTAGTTTGTGTCGAATACTTAATAAAATGTTTTCAAGCAGCCTGGTTGTGTTTATACTGTTGATGCTGCATCTTATGCATGAGAAGATCTTACAATTTGTACCCGTTTAAATGACTTTGCGTCACTTCTTACAGCTGTTTTTCTGTCTGTCTGTCTCTTCTCAAATCTACTCCTGGCAACAGCAATATGAGTCTCTCCATTGGTTCACTCAGTGTTTTTTTTTTGTGTCCATTTTTATATTTTGTTTTATTTTAAACCAAGTCATTTATTTAAAAAAAAAATTTTTAATTGTATAGTTTATTTTATATTATTAAAAAAATAAAAAAAAAACAGTATTTTCAGCCTTTTGGTGATATATTTATCACCAAAATAATAGTTTTATTTTAAACCAATTCATTTATTAAAAAAAAATTTAAAAAAAAACAATTTCAGCGATTATATTTGTTATTTATTTTATTTTATCCAAATCCAAAGTCATTATAGTCAAGTAGATTATGACTAGTCATTTATTAAAAAACACAATATTTTCAGGCTTTTAGTGATATATTGATAATAAACACTTTTTTCTCTTTTCTTTTCAATACGAGTCTCTCAGTGGTTTACCTGTGACTCTGTTTGTACAGGTGTTGCATAAAGCTCTGATAACTTCAGGGGCATTTATGAGTGGATACTACAGTGAATTATCACGTATCCCAGGCAACAGACTCCTTCATGTGAGGTTCCTGCACTGCATCACTGCAGGAAGTGTTTGGAAGGGAGCTTCACAGAGACCAGAACTTATGTGTACGTTTGCTTAGTGTATCATCTGTGTTTTATATAGGTTATTGTGTTAAAGTTGTGCATTTACAGATATACATTTACTTAAATGTATTTTCAGGGTTTTAAGAACGGTCTTCATGTGAATCAGGCGAGTCATTCCTGATCTGCTGAAACTTTTGAAAAACATGTCATTCACATTTGTATGTATCTATATATAAAAGGGTTTATCAGACTTGTGGAAATATGCTCTGAACACTAAATATCAATAATGATTTGGTTATTCACACAAACAGGATCATAGCTAGTCATTGCTTAGTGAGGGATTTACAGTTGGTTTACATGAGGAGGTCCGAGTGAAGTTCATATTTTAATCATTTGTATTGTTACGGCCCCAGTCTAGGTCAGGACCGCAACATAAACGACACAACAATGAATGGCTGTTTAAGTACTCATTTTAATTCTCTCCGATCAATCTTTTCGTGCGGTAGCAGTTTTGGAGAGTACAAACAATATCATCACAAAGAAATAAACAAATTAAAGAAACTGAGGCAAATTATCAGGGGTGAGCAAATGCCAAAACAATAAACAAACAACATAACTTCCCATAAAGAAACTAACTTCCCTGGGAATCAAAATAAAGCAACCAAAATACAACTTGTCTACCCAAAAACAGGAGAAAAGGATAATGGCCAAGTGGCCTATAAAAACAGATAAGGCATTCACCCCCTACAGCCTCACACGTGGCTTACAAACATGGACAGTGAAACAATAAACAAACAACAACATAACTTCCCATAAAGAAACTAACTTCCCTGGGAATCAAAATAAAGCAACCAAAATACAACTTGTCTACCCAAAAACAGGAGAAAAGGATAATGGCCAAGTGGCCTATAAAAACAGATAAGGCATTCACCCCCTACAGCCTCACACGTGGCTTACAAACATGGACAGTGAAACATCGAAGTTAAAGACATAAGGCTCTCACAGCACATGGAGCTAACAGCACTCTGTTAGAATATAGACTTGAGATCTCACAGCATTTTCACTACAGCTTAACACACAGTTTTAACACCAGAGCAATCAAAGAGAGACATACAGAGCAATGATCATAGCGAGCATAAAAGAGTGAGAGCAAGAGTGAGAGTGCCCTCCAGCGAGATCCGGGGGAATTTATAGTACAGGTCTCATCTCTGGTCCAACCACCAGCAGTCTCTCATTAAGCCTTGGACCAATCCTGGTAGAGAGGAGACAACAGGAGCACATCCACAGCATACAATACGTCTTAGACGTAACAGTCAGTCTGTGGGAAGACACCCCCTGGTTACAAGTTTCATCCACGGTGCGCTGAGGCTGAGGCCCCAGGTATGCTCTCGTGTCCCCCTGTGGGACCTGGCTGTGGTCTTGGAGGCTATAATAAAAAAAATTAATATTTACTTTTTATTTTAAATATATTACATAAATACTGTAATAATAATAAGTATAATAAGTATTATATATACTGTATATTAAAATATGATATACTTTAATATTGTCAGTTTAACATTTATCCAATATGTTAAGACATATAATGATGGGGACATGAAAAAGAACAACATGCACTCAAACTGAAAGGATTAGAATTGTTTAAAATCATTTTTTTTTTATTATATATGTATTTATTATTAAATATCTAAAAATATATTATGCTTTAATATTGTCATCAGACACATTTTATCAAATATGTCAAGACATGATGGGGACATGAAAAAAGTACAACATGCACTCAAACTGAAAGGATTAGAATTATTTAAAATATTTTTTAAATCTATATTTTATTTTAATTATATATTATATATTTATTATATATAATAACAATGCAAACATACGTAATGTTACAATGTTAAAGTAGCATTGATGTTGAAGTAGCATTTGGGAAATACACTGACATAATATTTTATTAACATTAAGAGAACGCTACATTAGCTAATAAAAAATTAAACCAGTTTTTAAAAGGTTTTAAAACCATTTTTATAAGAATTGATTACATGTAACAGGCTAACTCGAAAATATTAAGCAATATATTTTAATTCATGGGTCATGTGTCAATTAGAGGGACTTTTCTGTCCCCTATAATTTATTTTATATAAATAAATAAATAAATAAATAAATAAAAATAA